CAGTTCGAGTGCAGATCTGAATCAGCGATCACTCAAGACGTTCATATTTCTTCCTTAGATTTGTAGTTCTCTCTCTAAACTTCTGGTATCTGAGTTGTTCTGAGCGATCAATTTTTAGTTGTCTAAACAATCGATTCAGTAAAAGAACCGTTGTAGAAAGTTGATATGATAATGGGAATGGCATATGACTGTATTTCGTTGAAAAGCTGCTTATTGCGGATGTAATGTAATCACTTAATACAAGTTGTTGTTGATCTGACCTTTCATATTTATATTTACTTTTTGTATTAAACTTGATAATGTTTCACGAAAGGATCGATCTTTCGCCTACAAGTTGTGTTTATTGGTACCATTTTGTAGTGGCGCCACGATTTAAGACGAGAAATAAATGGATTTCTATTGTTGTACAGTTCATTTATGCAAACATTGGGAAAAGTTGCTAAATTTGTCTCTAATCCGCTTTGTTCACTTTCACTCTTTCGCCCCATTTAAACCTATACTATTTTTCATCGACGTTGAGGCAGTAAAGTTAGCGCCAACTCCTCGAAACCATATCTCTTGCCTCTCTTCACCTTTTCTAGTCTTTCTTTTCTTTGTTTACTGAACAATAGCGCATTAATTTGCGTCGTGAGTGAGTTGGTATATCTCATTTAAATTTTTGTTTAAAAATCACTCGAATATCGAGTGGAATCGAGTGCTCCAACCAACATGGATTTGTCACCTTGTTGAGAATAAATTTGTTGTGAAATCAGGACATCGCTGAGGATCTTCGTTTCCGTTCCAGGATGTTTTTTCTCCGTCGGAGCGATCTCGTCTTAATAGCTAGTAAACCAGAAATGGTGATTGCTATTAGATGGAAATGGAAGTAAAGAATTAATTTGGATGGAAAGAATATTTACAAAATATTTGCTAAAACCTGGCTAATCCAAATTGGATTTGTTCCGTATATAATTGCTTAATTGACCATTTCGCAATAAATATTTGCATTTGCATCTTAAATTTCATTCTCTTATCATTCATGAGTAGTTGGATTTTTTTTTAAATTTATTTTTCCGTTCTTTCATTGGAAACGTTTTTTTTGTTAGAACGCTCATTATTGCCACTTAGACTCATTCCGCTGGCTTATTGGATCAGACAAATTTTGCTTAGAAATAAAAGTACAGATGAGTCACCTGCACTAACGGAGGAATTTATAAATTTTTGTTCGGAAATGGTATTTTAATTTAGCATTTGTTCATTAATCTAAAATATTTAAATTTTTTTCTGTTATTGGTGAATATTTTTCCGGTTTTACCGATAAATCCGATTTGCAATAATCTTCGCATTTGAAATGAGGCAGTTTCATGACGAAATTGAAAAATTGAATAAAAATTGTTTGTAATAACGATTATAGAATTATTTTGCTTTTGAAGATTTATTAGATATTTTTTCTTAAAATTCTGTGAAAACCATTTATATTTTATTTATGAAATATATGGTGTTCGTGAAAAAATATTTCTCGCTGAGGCGAGCAGTGAATTTTTTCATATAAACATTTTATATATTCTAAAATTACAGATTTTTATGGAATTATGAAATTTTGATTAATCAACTAATAAAAAGTTGTCGATAATAAAAAATTTTTTTTCTCTTTTTTAGAAATCGTTGACAACAGCGATAGACGTTTAGTGATAACAGAGTGAGTGGTGATGCATCGCGCTTATCTATTATTTTTTTTGTATTATTGACTTGTTGCTAATGAATTTAAAGAAATTTATATATACGTAGAAGACTTTAACACTTTTTTGGTTTATTTATTATAATAATAATTATAGAATAATTTTTCGTATAGTAAAGCTGTTCGGTATTCGTCCCAGTTTAGTAAATTCTTAAAATTTTTTATCATTAATCCTTATGTTTCTTTTTTTTATCAGTCTCTTGCAAATTAGTGCCCTTTCAGTATTCTTCAATTCGCATTCGGAATTATAGCCAAGGATGCAAAAACAAGGAACTCTTTATAGTTTGCATTATCATAGGTATGCATTGTTATAGATCGTTCGTTCTTTGCACCATTTAATGTAATTTCTTTTAGTATAAAATATGGTATGACTCAATTCGCCAATCGTCGTCATTTCATGTTACAGATGTTATAAAAATTTTTGAAGCAAAAGAGGGGAAAGATGTTTGCAAATCGTCAACACCATATGTTGCTTTAGAATTTTAACATGCATTGCTCAGTTATAACTCAGTTATAATTCAATTTCTTTTTTCTTTCGGCAAATATGGATTAGCGATTAGGAGGATAATAGTGAATTTTTTTCATACTGTGACAATGAAAACGCGGCGGAACTGTAAGTAAACAATTTTTCGCGATTCTCCATCGTTTTTATTTTCATGAAACATTAGTGATGATAAATTTACGTACAGTTGTTTTCCTTTGCATGTTTTTCGTCGGAGTACTAATCTATTTTACATAAATAGGAATGTGCTATTTAATTTGTCGACACGTCGAATATTACTGGTTTAACCGGCTTCAATTTTTTTTTTTTATTTTTACGAGTGGATTGGAGTGAATCTTTTGCTAGTTTTTCGGCAAGTTTTTTTGTCATCGCCTCTTCAGATTCCTTTATTTTATTTTAGTTTCATTATTTTGATGAGCTTTCTTCGTACGCGACTCGAAGGCGAGAAAAAGAATTATGGATTTTCGAACAATCGAACAATCTATCATAGTTATGAGTTATTATGATGTTGAAAATTCTATGAGATCGTATAGCTTGATTTTGTTATTATTAAATTTCTAAATGAAATTATTAAATTAAAACAGGTTGTCATTCATTCGATTGAAATTTCTATTGTAGAAAATTTCTATTTGCGTAAAAATACTAAAATAGAGACCCATCATTTTGAGGTTTATTTAAAACGCAACCTCTTCTTTTATTTTGTTTTGTTAATATTCATTCATCTTTTTTAAGATTATTATTCGCTAATTTTGGAGCGACGCTTTGTTTTATTCTAATACCATTTTAGTAAAAATATATCGGATCGTCGGATCGAATCTTATCGCAAATATTACAAAAATATGATCGAAGTGAATCGTTATTCTGACATTTTTTAGCTTATAAATATGAAATATTAGTTGACCTTGCAGATTCTTATTGAAACATTTCTCTATCTTAATTTATCTTATAATGTTAAACCCAACGAGGTCATTCGCTTCATTTATCGCATCATAAATTGATGATTTACATGAATTTTGACAGATTACATCACACTTCTTTTTTAGTTTTGAGGTTTTTAACAATATTTGATATTTTTTCTTCTCATTATTTTATCACTTATGGTAGTTTTCTTCATTAGTTAAGAATTGCACTCGTTTTTGATCAGTGAAATTTGATTCGGTAATGAAAGTTTTGTACGATCGATGCCTTCTTCTTCTTCTTCCAACGAACAAATAGAGCCGTAACGATGAGCATCGTCTCATCGTCGTCATTCTTTGGTTAACTAATGTGTAGAGAAAACGTTGCGTTGCGGTAAAAACAATTACTTATTATGTTGTTTATGTTGAGTGATAAGAAATTTTTTAAATTAATTCAGTATATTTTTATTCATTTCAGTTTTAATTTAATTTTTTCCTAAAAATTCTTTGATAAAAATATTTTCCAGGATTTCTTTGAATGATAGAAAGAAAAGAAAATTTCAGAAATTTTGTATTCAATATTAGCTGCATTGATGTTCATCGATGAAAGTTTTTTTTCGATTTCTTTAATCAAAGAATTTATTTTTTATCCTTTGCTTATTTTTTGTTTGAATTTCTTTCGGGTTTTGTCTTCGTATACGAAAATGATTTTTCATCGTTCATCGTCGACGAAAATGAATTTTTTTCTTTTATTTTGATCGATGAACCTTTTTGATTTTAAATTTATCTGATTTGTATATAAATTTCTGTGAAAATTCGTCTCAATTTTCCATTATTTCATATTTTTCATATTTAAAATTTCTTTTTTTCAGATTGCTTTAATTATTGTTTATGTATTAATTGTGGCGGTTTAAGCAGCAATATTTCGAAATAAAATAGAAAGTTTTCCAAATAAAAATTTGGGAAACAATCGAGAAGAGATTAATTTTTTTAATCACTTCACATGTTATATTGATTTTATTTTTCATATATATATTTATATATAATCAGTTATATTTTTCTTTTCACGATTGGTGATGAAAATTCTAAAGCGTCGTTCTTCTTGTTTTCCCAGTTTGTTGACCTCTGCTTTACCTTCTTTCGTTTCCTTTGCTTATTTATAAATCTTTTACATTCCGTTATTCGGTCGCATTATTTCCTCTTTGCTGGTTAGTTCTAATAATAAATACATTAAAGCAACTAATTCCCGCCATTTCGCTCATTCTTTCTTGGGAATCAATTTATACTTCTCTCGTGATTGTTCTAATCATTAAAATAATGGTAAAGTAGGAAAAATTACGGCAACTCTGCATACTTAAGTGATTTATTAATTTTATTAGTAATTGTTAGGATGGGTTCTTCATTATCGCGAAATGCACGTTGGCCGATTATCATGCTGGTTCAGTTGCGATGAAACGTGGTTCCTCTTCGTAACCACTGATCTAAACCTTAAGCGTTGGAGTGAATTTTTGTGCTTCTCTCTCTCACATAGCATAGCGATTTGATCCTCTTAGATGCACCGTTCAAACTAGAAATTCTTAAAAGATGAACAGAATATAAACGTATTATTATTGTTAAGACATCATTGTTGTTTATAGTTGTCTGTTTATTCAAAAGATTAAATTATCGATATAGGAATTGAAAAATTTTTTTATAAATATTTCGCATTTGTAGAAATTTTTTTTATAGTTGTAAATACGGTTTATTGTCGAGCAATTAATTATTTTTGTTGTGCAGCGGCATTCATCGAACATAATTTGTTATTAAATAATTGATTATTTAAGGCAAAAACAAGGGATATAACTGGAAGTGAGTTGGAAGAAGGTCACCGTTGTGCCATTTCGCAATGTCTAAAAAGGTGGTATGTTTTTTTAGCGATTTTGTTATCTCGGTTGAGATCATAATAAAGCATAACATAGTAAAATATATTCATCTCTGAACTCTTGAACTCTTCGAAAATTCATACATAATTAAATTAGACTGACTGAAATGATTTAAATCCGAAATTTTAAAAATATGCAGATTTTTATTGAATTTTCTATTTTCTAGCAATAGTTTTTCATTCAAATGAATTTTTCTGCAAAAATTTTTCGTGTTTTCGGTGAATAATACTTTATAGATCAATGTTCGTGTGACTACTATGGACGCGGAATTGGAATTCGCGATCCAGCCTAGCACAACTGGAAAACAGTTATTCGATCAAGTTGTGAAAACTATTGGTCTCCGTGAAATTTGGTATTTCGGTTTGCAGTATACAGATAACAAAGGCTTTCTTACCTGGTTGAAGCTTAATAAGAAAGTTTGTCTTCCAGAATGTTTTATCGTAGAATACTTTTTCGTCCTGGATGCATACGATTCATTTATAATTTTTTTGTTTCCGGATTTAATTCTTAACAATGAATTTCTTTTCATCATATTTTTAGGTTATTGTTCAAGATGTGAAAAAGGAGCCAACTCTTTTATTTAAATTCCGTGCAAAGTTCTATCCTGAAGATGTTCAAGAAGAGATAATTCAAGATATAACATTAGTTAGTTTATTAAATGAAAATTTTTTTATATCTAAAACATTTTTTCCGTTTACACAAAAGATATTCGTTTTTTTGGTGATTAAGTTATGAAGTATGAAGTTATGAAGTATTACATGAATCGATTTTCGGAATAGTAATATCATCTGCATTCCTGTTTTATTTATGAAATTGATCCGATTTTTAAAATTGATATTTAATCCCTTTGTAAAATCGTAATATAGATTATGAAAGTCGGTTATAAATCACAATAAAATTAATAATTTTATGTATATCAATGAAAATGAATCGTACAATAAAGAGATGAATAAAAAAGTCCCTTAGAAAAAAAGTTAAATCTAATTCTCATAATTAAAAATGAATTACTAAAACGAGATGTGCTAGATAAAATGAATTTTTTAAATTGATTCTTTGTTAACCATTCAAAAATTTACAAAAAAAACCCCGAGATACTAGGAAATTTATGAGATTTACTTTGAAGCATCTGATAAAATTTTTATTTTTATTTTTAAGAATTTATAATTTTATTTTTCAATCCTCGCCTATTTCTTCGTGTCGAAAATGGTGATTTTGCAGCGATTATTCTATTTGCAAGTGAAGGATGCTATATTGTCGGATGATATTTATTGTCCACCGGAGACATCAGTATTGCTTGCTTCATTTGCAATGCAGGCGAAATATGGTGATTACATGGCAGATACTCATAAAACAGGATGCCTTACATCTGATCGACTTTTACCGCAGAGAGTGATCGGTCAGTTCAAACTCAGGTGAGTTTTATCCCATAAAAAAGTATTTATAATGTAATCATACTTTATTTTATTTTTGTTATAGTCTTTATATCTTCGGATGAAAAAAACATGAAAGGCAACGATTTCATAAGAGCGATCTCATTCATCGCATGATCTCTTAATTTTCTTAAAAAATTTTTTAGCGCTGAAGAATGGGAGAATCGAATAATGGTTTGGTGGGCAGATCATAAAAATATGAATCGAGAACAAGCAATGATGGAATATTTAAAAATAGCACAAGATCTCGAAATGTATGGCGTTAATGTAAGTAAAGCATTATTTTAAATTGAAATTTCGGTTGCTTCCATAGAATATACGCATTTTTCATATTTGTATTTTTCACTCCTCTTCAAAGAGCTTATGTCATTGGCAATTAAATTAGCCCTACCGGCTAAGACATTTCCAAATCACTCGATTCGAACAAAAAAGAATTTTTATTTTGTTTTTTGCTTCTCGAACGTAGTGTCGTATGTGAAGCTCGAATTTTAACATTTTCAAAACATTTGTTGACATTTAAATGATCGCATTGGTTGTTAATAAGTCATATAAAATGCGCGTGTTATTTAGATTGATGAAATAGGGAAATAGTGAATAGAAGTTTAGAGGATTTTCAGTGAAAATTACCAGCTTTTCATGCGATTTTTTATCCATTAGGATTATCCACTGTTCTGAAAAAATATGTCCATAACTTGACTTTTTGATCGCGTTTTTTTGTACTTGCGATTAGAATTCATCAGCAGTTCATAATATTACAGTAAAAATGGCAGTTTCCTTAGAAAAGTGGTTTTGTTTCCAGTAGAATTATTTAGATTTTTCTATTCGAAGATATCTATGTAATTGTATGAGAAAAATTTATACCACGGATAAAACGACAAAATAATATTAGCAGCTTGTACTTATTACTTGTATTTTTGTCGCCTATAGGTACTATTTTTTTCACTTCTAGCCGCATTCAGCATTTTCGAGATAAAAACACGAGTAGTTTTGCACCGAATTTCACTTTTGATGAAGTTTTCTTTCTGTCGAGAACGGAGAATCGAACTCGATTCAATTAAAGCATTGTCCACTCGATTATTCTCTCCCTCGTTTAAACTAATATGCACCTGCATATTAAAATATATTAAAATAAAGAAACATATCTTGTTATACTACAATTTTTTTCATATTTATTACCTTATTTAATCAATTTGTAGTTACCATTCTAAGCATTTTATTTTGTTCATTTAAAAAGATGTTACTCTGGGAAATACGTATATAAAATTTACCAAAATATCAAGAATAGCGCACGATGACCCAAAAGTTCCCCTAATTTAATTTTTTCTGTTTAATCACTACAACTAACGTCAGCAATCACGTAAGATAATCCGCAAAATTGATTAATAGAAAAATTGTATCCATTCTTTTCATATTCATTTTTTAGTACTTTGAAATTCGAAACAAGAAAGGAACGGAACTTTATCTAGGTGTCGATGCACTCGGACTCAATATATATGAGAAAGTTGATCGCCTTACTCCAAAAGTTGGCTTTCCATGGTCTGAAATCAGAAATATTTCGTTTAATGATAAAAAATTTGTTATCAAACCAATTGATAAGAAAGCAAATGTAAGTTTTTTTTCAGTGGAAAATACTTCAGTATTTTTATGATCGTCATGAGCCATTTATCTATGGTTGATGGTTACAATAAGTATGGCTTAATGCATCTAATCTTTTGTTTTAAGGCTTCCATCGTCATATATTTATTGCTAATATTGATATGATTAAAGCTAAATATTAGCAAGTATAACACAGTGATTCATGGTAAATTATTAATTACATTTCTAATTTTAAGGATTTTGTTTTTTATGCGCCTCGATTGAGAATAAATAAACGCATTTTGGCATTATGTATGGGCAATCATGAATTATACATGCGACGAAGGAAACCCGATACTATTGAAGTTCAGCAGATGAAGCAGCAAGCAAAAGAAGAACGTATGCAAAGGAAGCTCGAGCAGGAGCGTCTGACTAAAGTAATGCTTTCTGTTTTTATCCTGCGATCTTTATCTATTAAAAATATTAAAATTTTGAGGAAATGACTGCACGTGAAGCAGCGGAGCAAAAGCAAAGGGAATATGAAGAAAGAATGGAACGAATGAAGGAAGAAGTTGAGAGAGCGCAGCGTGAACTTTCAGAAGCGCATGATACGATTCGTCGTCTTGAACAACAACTTCTCGAATTACAGGTTGGTTGTTTAGCATATTATGAAAATTATGATTATTTCTATGTTTCATAAGGATCAAAATATTTAATTGAAGGCAGCGAAAGATCAGCTTCAATCTAAAGAAAAAGAATTACGGCAGCTGATGGAACAATTACAAACAGAAAGGGAAATGAGTTCGGAACAGAAAGAACGGTTGGTGGCTGAGATTCAGAGCAGAGAAATTCAAGTAGCTGAAATGAGGCAACAGATCGAGCTAAGAACTGAAGAAACTAATCGTCTTCAAAGGCAAATCGACGAAGCTCGAATGCGAGAACCGAATAAACACATTAATGCATTTAACATAAAGGAAGTCGATTTAGATGAAGCTAGTACAGAAAATGGGCATATCGGAACAGGTATTTTCTGATTTCCGATAATGTGCAAGTGAAAAGATAAAAAAATCTGTATAATTTTGTAATTATCAATTGCATTCACTTTATTTATTTATTTTTAAAGATTTAACGGCTCGTGGTGACGAGAATGTGCCGCAGAGAGAGCTTGAACGCAGAACAATGGCTGATCAGAATATTTCTTTAAAGCATAAACTTGATGTTAGCATTGTCAATTTTTTATATTTACAACTCGGTCGAGATTTAGAAGGGATTTAATTATCAAGGTGGAAAACGAATAAATAATTGAGCTCAAATAATTTTCGATTTCAGGCACTAACTGCTGATTTAGAGGCAGTAAAGGACGCACAACAAATCACTGAGTATGATCTCCTTCACATGGAAAATAAGCGCGCTGGTCGAGATAAATATAAGACTTTACGGCAAATTCGTGGAGGAAATACGAAACGAAGAATTGATCAGTACGAAAATATGTAGACATTTTATTTTAGTGAGGGCATTGTGCCATTTTGATTTTTTTTACTTTCCCTAATTTTTTTTTCATTGCCACTGTTTTATTTTTTTACCTTTGCCTGTTTTTTACCTGTTTTTGTTCTTTTTAAATCATTGCCACTCGGGTTTGAGAAAACGACTCATAAAGGTTATATTTCTTATCACTGATTTTATAGTAGCAATTTTCTTTTGTGCTTTGTTTCGGCATACCTAATGGTTTATGATGGTAAACCTTTCGAATCATTTGAGGGTTTTGGTGTCATTTGCTATCACCATTTGCATTAGAAATGATTTTTAGGTACTATTTTCACTTTATATTGATGGCTATCACTTATTTCTAGGGGATTCTTCCAGAAATATTTCCTTTTTTCTTTTTTTCTAATTTTTTCAGCTTTTAAAATTCCTTTTGTTAACATACGATCAGATGTTATAGTTTTGTTTGCCTTTTGTGGATCTATTTATTAAAAAATTATATATCTTTTTAGAGACCATTATGAATCATGATTTTGTTTGACGCCTTAAATATTTTTATAAATTTTATTTTTTTTTAAATCATTCGTTTAGAGAGCAGTCATATGTTTTCAATAAAATTCGTTTATTTTCACCATCATTTTCGAGGGAATGGCTGTGATATTTTAATCGTAAGATCGGAACCAAAAATGTCAAATATTGGAAATATTATTTAGTCGAGATCGAATTGCATATAAATTAGAATAAAAAATAAATTATAGTACAAATTATGTGGAAATCCTATGTGTCTTTGGCTTTGGGCATCTCAAACAATTTAACGCGATCACGTTGAGCAAAATCGGATAAACCTTGAGGAGTAAAAAATAAAAATTGATGCGATGGATATTGTCGAGTTGCCAAATCGGAAAGCAATTCCATAATGATCTTTCGGTTATTCATATCAAGAAAAACATCGAATTCGTCCATACATCTGACATGTAACAAAGATAAGTTCATTATAAAAAGTTGCAAAAATTTCTAATAGAAATTGGAAAAGTGGTTACCGAAAGGGCATTTCCATTGTTTCCCAAAGAGCCATTATAAAACAAGCTGACACATAAGATCGTTCACCACCAGAAAGCCCTAAATAATCATCGATTAAACAAACATGGTCTCTGTTATTTCACAGGCGTTTCAATGCAACTTAATACCTTTCAAGTCTTGGAGAGTTTCTTTCACTGAACGGGCACCTCGCGCGAGGGTTGAATCTAAGCTATTGTTCTTTTCGTGGGTTTGTGCCTTAAAAAAAAAGTGCAAACCACAAACAAATAAATTTGCTGAAGTGAAAAAAAGTGAAACCGAACAAAGTTACTGACAATAATGAAGATTAAAAGTAAAAAAATTTTAATCCCTAAAGGCATTTGATGAATAAGGAAAGTAAATAAATGAAAATCCGCACAATTATGTCTACAGTTTCTTGATCATGGTCGATAACCACTCGACCAGCAAATTTGCGTAACGATATAAGACGTGAGTAGGCTTTCTCCAGTCGGATACAAGTCGCATGACGTATTAATAAGTACTTCTCCTCTCGTATTTTCAGAAAATTTTGCAATTCCTGCAACGATTTTATTTTTTGCATTCATGAATGAGTGATATTAACCATAAACCCATTTTATCTACCAATAACTATTTGTACTTTAGCATGCTGAATAATAGGATGAGATACTTTTATTTGACAGTCATTTAAGGACGAAAGGCGAAGAGATGAAGCATCTGCAACATCGTTCCATTTTATTTTTTTATTTTGTTTCATTTTATTTTCTTCGAGGAAGGGAAATCCAACTTAACAGGTAAAATATATTTAATCACTCGACCACTGAGTCTTCAATTATTTTATCCTATAAGAATAGCGATCATCAATAAAAATGAAATAAAACCTTAACACGTTTTTTTGATTTAGAATATTGTTTTTTTGATCTACGATATTCATTTACGAGCGCATTTAGCTCATCCATCGCTACTACAGCACTACCAAGACTGAAATGTAACTTACCTTTATTTTAAGGAGAATATCAACATTAAATTCCCTTTGTGCCAATTGTTTCATTGATTATTTTTTATTATCTGATTATTTTTCACATAGCTATTTAAATGACAAATTATAGAAAATTTCAAATTTCTGATTTCAAATTTTTGGCATAAATTTCTTAAAATTTTTTTGAAAAACTAAGCTAACCTTTCTTGATCAGCTTTGATTGCTTGTTCCAGCTTTAAATATTCATCCTTTGTTTCTTCGGTGTCCGGCAATTTATCAAAATCAGGAGGATTGGTCATGCCATCCGGCTGAGGTAGCAAGGCGCAGTTCTTTGTATCTTTCTCATACTCTTCCTTTTGGCCTCTATATTTCTTTATTTTAAAGATACTATTTCCCATCCTAATTACTGGTCAGAACCACAAAAATTATTTGGCACTCAACGCTGACGAAATCTTCTTTGAAATAAGTATCTCTAATATTCAAGGACAAAAAATTAAACTGTATCTATTATCACCATCAGTAGTTAAAGCAAATTGATAATCTTCAAATATAATAGTTTATATTCGTAATATAATTGGAAACCGATTATATCCCTCACTCTGAAAAATTAAGAGGAACGAGGAACCTTTCTTTTTCTTCTTGGCATTTTAGAATTCGAATTTCATTCTCGTTATTGGTAATATTATCTTCGATGTTTCGTCGTTTACTAGTAATCAGAGAAATCTTGTCACTCAGCTCGACAGATTCATCCTGAATTATCAAAGCAAAATGAATCATCAAAAAATTATTGCCAGATTTCCCAGACATTAAAAAAATTGGATATGATTGCAGAAAAATTTCTGACAAAAGTAGTGAAATCTTAGCCATTCATAAAATTAAGGGACCATAATCAGAATCATAAAATTATAAAATTCATCCAAAAATCCTAATGAAAACTTCATAAAACGTTTAAATGTTGGCTAAATACGTTTATGTTTATATAATATAATCTCCACATTAACCATTTTTGGAAACTTCGCTGAGGATGACACAATTTGCATTACAGTGGTTATTTCGCAATTCATTGAGTTTTAATATTTGTACGATTTGATTTACCTCAAAGTTTTCTATCTTCTTGTTGATTTCTTCTGTTTCGTACTTGATTTGTTGACATTGGTTTTTCAACTTGCCATATTCACTCTCGAGAATCCCTAGTGTATTTTTCATTTCTATTATTTCTTGAGACAGCTCTTCGCTCATTTTTCGATACTCTTCGATACTGCTCATCTGATAACCAAAAATATCAAAAATAGAGAAAACATTTATTATAAAATGTATTTAATAATTATATTAAAATTTAAGGACAAACAAAAATGCAATGTTTAAATGTAAAATGCTGATTAAATAAAAATAATTTGGGATAATCATATAATATTAAACATTTTTCATTCCATACCAAATATACTTGTATTATCTGCTACTTGGAAACATATTAAAATAAATATTGAATTTTTTGGCTAAATTTGGAAATAATTTATGGCACGAAAAATCAGCGACAAAAAATGATATACTAAGTTAACGGTGCGTGCATCACTGTCAATATCCACTTGTGCTCGGTTTAATAGTCTATGAAGCTGCTGTTTTTTGGAATGAAATTTCGTTAACTTTTCGGATGCTTTCCTTATTTCATCTGTTAAAAGTTCAACTTCTTGTGAAAGATTCTGCCGCTCTTTTTGAACCTTAAAAACGGTCTTTTCCATTGAATTTTACGCGATTTATATAATACAGTTTGTAGCAAAAGGAAAAAAACAAACGATTTAAATAAATCTGTCACTAAGAAGAAATGAAAAAAAATTTTCCAAGTACCCGAGGAGAATTTTTTTTAAGAGTCCTCACCATTACTTGTTAAACTCGCTTCACTGGTTTGTCATTGAGCAATATGCCAAGGAATCCCTTGGCGATAGAAATGCAGGTGAGTTGCCAGCATCACCTGGATTTTTATACAGGTTTACTCCTGCGGGGAATCGAATTTCAGCATCCCTCCCAATTGAGCAACAAACTACTGAGCCATTCTAGCCGAGCGCTTAGAAACAGGAAAAGTCTAACCTTATTTAGAACAGATTTTCTAGGCGACACTGATTTTTGAAGAGCGCTAATTTCTTTTCCCATCTCTCTAAATATTATGATTATATTGCGATTGCAAATATTATGCTTTTTAAAATTTTATAACCATATTTATTAAAAGTAATTTCAAATGTCTGAAAAAAAAACTAATAACCTTATATTAGCAGTCTTTTGTGATACTAAATATTTAGCCTTATTCCACAAAGAATTGGAATAAAAACGATACAGTTGGTTGTTTGTTCTGGCAAATACTTCAGCGCCACTCATCGTGAAACCCTTCTTAATATTTTTAATTGGCTGAAAACACGGCATGAATGAAAAAATATACAGTACCATTAATCATCGACAAAGAATATAATTGTAATGACTAAAAAATATGAATAGAAATTAAATATTTACCGCATTACACATCAATTCACGCGCACAATCATCGTTATCAATCAACATCACAGATTCAGCTTGAGTCTGATCAACGATAGCATTAAAAACATTAACATTTGATATTTCCACACAACGCAAAACTGTTAAGATATCCGCTGGTGGTTCATTAACACTAGTATCATATCGATTAGAAGAAAACCTGAAGTCCATTAAATGAAATTTTGACGTTCAATAAATATCCATATGAAACCATTCTTCGAAAAAAATGGGAAAAAGAAAAGTAGACTTACTTTGAAATGATAAAACCGGGTATCTGCAAACCATTTTGTTTCAAAATCTTATCAAGCATATTTTTATCCTCAATGTTATCACATAAAAACTTTAAAAGCACAGAACGTAAAGCCAGTTCGATCGCCAATGACCATTTTTCATCTATCACTTTTACGTAAAAACCTTCAAAAGCCAGATAATTTAACGTAATGATATAATCAATAATTATTAATTATTCTACCATTTAAAACAATAAAAAGAAAAATTTATGCGAAAAATTTTAAGAAATATAAACTTTACCCAGTGGGCCAAGCGGTTTTTTGTTGAATTTTTCAGCATTACAATCGATCAGTTTTAAAATTGCTGGCACTGAAATACCAAAACGAGCGATGTCACTCTCCTTCGTCGCTCGCAGACGATCATATTCAGCCACTAACCTTTCTAACTTATAATTCGACTGACTAATTTCAACTCTGCAAATAAATAAAATTGAAATTTCTTTTTTATCTAATATAAAAGTAATTGGAACAATAATCATCATAAATATTTTTAAATACGACAAAAAGGGGAAAAATGAAAAAAAATTTATATTTACCGAATTAAAAAATATGAATAAAAATTTCATAGACAACATTTAAATAATTTGCCTGGAAATATCCGAATAAAAACTAAGGCATTCGATTATAATTTATATTCCATAACCAATATAATACAACTAATATAACTATAAATAATCCTTTGTAAAAAATGCAACAATTTCCTCTTTTTTGCCCTTCCAAAGAAATTGCTTTTTATCTTACTTTATATCACACGTCACAGAAATCCAGGCCAGATGCAATTAACTGAATTTCAATGTTTTTAGTATATACAGCCAGAGCGTGTTCCAGTTTGAAGATTTCCTTATTATAACATTATAGCTATTTGAAGAAATATGTCACACTTTCCTAGTAATTCTGTCATATATTTCTTCAAACAGCTAAACCTTTCTCTGTTAATAAAATATTATCGTATTAATATTATCACGACCAAGCAGATCTTAGTCATAAATATTTCAAATCGATAAGGAAATCCCAAAAAAATACCTTCTTTCGGAATAATTCTTAATTTATGAAGCTAATTATAAAGGAAAAAATGATAAAAACTAGCTGATATTTCCGTTCAAGATTTTTTGCTTTCTCCAGTTCCTCATTGCACTTTTTTTGTTTTAAATCGTAATCCTCCACAATTTTTTGAAGCTTATTAATTTCGGTTTCAGTTTGTTGAAGTTCTTCTTCGATTCTAGGCAAATCTTTTTTATCATGCTCCATGCTTCGCTTCCTAAGAATTTAAAAATGATTTTTAAAAAATTGGCAGGAATAAAAAAATTTTTTCTTTCTAAGTCTGTTACTATCTATGAAGGAATTAATAACGCATAACTTCTTTAAATTTTTTTCAAAAATTTTTTAAAACTTTTTTTTAAATTGTAGAAGTAGATATTTCTTTCTTGACAAAAAAAGCAAATTGTTCACTGATATATATTTCGTTGAATTTCTTCAATTTGGCGCTCCAGTGAAACGACTTGAGCATTAAGTTCCTTTTGCCTTTGTTCCTTTGTTGATAAGTTATGCATTTGATTCATACATTTCTTTCGCATTTTTGATAATTCCTCGTTTTCGGCTTCAAACTGGAAAAAAGTAGTAAAATTACAGGAATTCCAACTGAAATCTGATTGAGATAAGAATAAATATTGAACTAAAAATATTTGAAAATATGGATTCGACATTTCATTTTTTATAATTTAATTTTAAATAATTTTTTATAATTCGATTAAAATTTGTAAATTTTGGAAAGATAAAAAGCAAAATATTGGTAACTGAAAATTACTTTCTTATTCGTTTCCACTCTCTTTTTAATTAAAAGATCAATTTCTGCTGCTATTTTAGTTTTCCTTCTTGTATATTTTTCTTCCTCCTTCTGAAAACGAATTATTGTTTGAATAAGACAAATTTTTTTAAAAGATAAATTAAAAAACTGGAAAAGAAATAAAAACTGGATAAGAAATAAAATAAATAGAAATAATAAAATAGAAGAAATCGATATAAATGACTTTATATCGATACTGTTCTTCTTGTAAATCAGTTAGCCCAGTGGATGCTTTTTGCAAAAGGTTTTCGATCCGATTAATTTCCTAAAATGCTTGATATTAAAATATTTTATTTCTCTAGAGGATCAACAAGATAATTCAAGCTGATGATAACTGGCTTCAATCAAATTTCTAAATCAAATGTTACGAGCAGATCAAACAGATCCTCAAAATATTTTTGATTTTATTGATTGGTTTCAGTGACAAATTTGGATCCATTAATAGGCAAAGGAATAGAAATTATATTATACGCCCTCAGATAAAGCAACATACTTACTTTGGAGCAGTCTCTGACGGGAAGCCACAAAAGAATCCATCCAAGCTTATTCAACTCTTTCTTTTTTTTTTCTACGCCATCCATACGCTTTCGAATTTCGAGAAGTTTACTGATTTTCCTTAACAGTTCAATTTTAATTATTCAACAACTGGTGCTATTATATATACTATAATGAAGCTACTAGATACTATAATACTATACTCCTACTTTGCATTCAACTTCAACTTATTTAAAGAACTTTATGGAACGTAAAAATAAGATTGAAATGTTAAGGCACTGAATTGATAAATAAAATATTTTTAATCAGAATTACCAGCAATTTATTCATAACGTTAAACATGGAAACGGAAATTTACTTTTCCAAAATAAAGAATTTAAAGAATGAATTATCAATCAGTGAATCCTTGACTGAGATTTTCTGAGCCAATGACACATTAGTATTAATAAATTATTTGTTCTAAATTTTCATGAATTTCTTATTCTCAAATCTTTATAAATCTAAAACTGAAAAAAATCACGTTTTTTTTTCCACAAGTATTTCATGTATCGAATCTTGAATATTTTCCATATCAAGCAAATAAGAAGCTACTGTATCGTAACATTTACGTGTACAATCTAATCCTGTTGCTATAACGAATAACTGAAATAATATAAAATAAAGAACAAGTACGACAATAAAGTGAAAATATAATAAAAATAAAAGACTACTGAAGGCAAGCTAGACCTTGTAAATTTTGTCTGGCTTAAAATCTTGAAGAAAAGCACGACTGCGATCTTGTGACATCCAGAATACTGGATTGTTAAGCTGAATTCCGAACCGTGATAATAACTGGTCTAGATCGGATTTTCGAGTACTGACTAATTTTTCTAAATATTATATATCATATAAATATAATATAGGAATTTTCTCAAAAGAATACAAAAGAGTGAAGAAAACAATAATGACTGTCGTAATTACTTTACTACTTACTTATCTTATTACTTATTATTTACTTTAATCTTTATTACTTACTTATCATTACTTATCATTATTTATCAGTAATTACTTATCATTACTTTAATCTTTAAAACATTACGAAACCAGTACTTATCAAATTAAAATTTACAAATCATAAACGGGCTAGTACCGCGAAAAGTTCGCCCTTCTTGAAAAACTGATTTAATGAGATAAGACGATTGGTTGCGACTGGAAATTATTCTTTCGATTGCTATTTTTTCACCATAATCAGGATGATTTCCATAACCAGAATTCGTTAACAATATTCGTATCTTCGAACGACTGCAATATTCCCTTTGGAGATATAACCCTTTTTTTTTGAAGTATATACATCAGACAATAATCTATATATCTATCTATTATTAGACAAGCAAGTAAATAAGTGGTTGGCGCTCACCATTTCTGGTAGACTATGTCTAATAACGGTCAGTATAATAAGAAATTTTTGCCAGGGATCTGAAAGGCTTACTCCCCCATAGACAGGGTCCGAATCCTGAAACAATGAGTTAATGACAATCTGAACAAAATCACTCTGATATTCTACGCCTTTATATTCCAACCTATATAGAACAATCTGGTTGCGTTGGTTCACATTCGTAAAAGGCACACTGATGATGATTTTCCATAACCCTACTATAATTCCTTAATACTCAAATGAACTTTATATTCATAATACTTCGCTAATAAAATATCAAAATACAAGTTAGAATCTGACGCAATGAATTTTTTCCATTATTAAGCATTTCCTCTATAATCTCCTTTTTTCTATATATGAATATACTTTTCTATATACTTTTCTTCATAAAAATATATTAAAAAATAAGAAGTCATACAATATGAAGTGAATAAAAAATAATGATTACAACTGATTAAAATAATTAGTCGAAAAAAGCGATAAATTTCGAACCTTTCTCCGAATTTTATATAATTTTTGACGGAATTACCACGATCATTACTACTTCCTTTACCACCAAGACCAAGATTAAGGGAAGCAAATAAGGCACTTTTTCCAGCTAAAAAAGTGCATATTTTATGTTTAAAATAAAGAATTTCTATAAAATTATGATCTCTCGAAAAAAAATGATATTTACATCCATTACAACCACCGATAAAGAAACAATTATTTTTGGCCAAATCAAAATCAATTTTTAAATTTTCATGACACATGAAATTTTCCAGTTCAACCGAAGCGATTCGTCCCGGAATCTCACGAATATCATATTCTGAAATAAATAAATTTGAAAAAGTTTAAGACGAAAAAGACAAGAAAAGGAGAAAACTTTAATAAATAAAAATATACTAACAATATAAGAATAAATTCATTTTGAATTCGATAATTAGGTTATAAGGAAAAAAAAAATTTTAAAATTGGTTTAACACAAAATAATTTCAAAATAATTTTAATTTTAGCAATTAATTTTAACAATAATAATTTTAAAATATTTTTATGAAACCAAAAACAGAAAAAGATGAGGAAAAAATTTTTTATTTTTATTTTATTTTTATTTTATTTTATTTTTATTTTCAATTATCTAGTCCATAATGACATTCATTTCATGGAGGAAAAAATCGAGGGGACTGGAATAAAATACGACGCTAACGCGATGTAATAATGGAAATAATGGTCAATGGACAGTCCCTTTTCGTTTAGCTGAAAGCACGAACATTTTACTTCAAACAGATGTAAATTTCGGCACTGGAGAAGACATATTTTATGGAACTCTGCGAAAAGCCAACATTCAAATGAAACCGAAACCGATTACATATATTGCACGCAATTATGTGAACAGTTATTGGATTTGATCCTGTGAACGACTGCTCGTGTAAGCAATAACAGAAAATTAATATTAGAAAATCGTATTCCTCATCGTAAAGCAACCATAACTCAGGAAAGAATGACGTAAATAGCTAGACTATACTCAACTATACGTTCAAAATCTTTTCTGACCGTATCAGTCCAGGTCTTGATTGGTCTGCTTCGTTTTTGACACCATCTAACACAGGGTTTAGCAAATAACGAAATGTACGTCAGCTCCTACGATGGACGACGGAGAATGTCAGATTGCTTGTTATGGCTCTCAAAGACGTCTAGCGATTTTTTTGATAAACTTAACAACGATGCACCAACACTCCAGATGAAACACTTGACGAACTATATAATTTCAATCAGTGTGAATCATAAACGAAAAAATCTTATTCGAAACCTTAGGACCAATAAAACTATGATTAGTTACAAAAGACGATAAATCAGTGGTGAATCAAACCGAGCTCTACTTCCTAAATGTCGCTTTCAGGAAAATGAATGGAAGCCCAATTCGAATATATTCAGAATGATAACAAATCAATTTTTATGATTATTTTATTTTGTAAATTTAATATTTTATGCAGTTTTCTGCATTTATTCAATTTAACATTTTAAAACTTAAAATTTAAATGAAAATATTATACCAGATACCCATGAATTTTTATGCTATCATCTAGAAGGAAAAAATTATTTCTCCGCGTTTTTCGATAACTGCATTGAAACTCGCACTCCGTATTAATGAAAATAAGTTGGAACTCTTTTCTCTCGCTTTATATACGTTGAAAAAATAATTATTTTTACAAATTTATCATTAAATGAGGATTTTTAATATCTCTGGCCCATTTCTGAGCCAAATGGCTAAGCGAAAAGCGAAACCCTAATTGGAAAAGCTAAGAATAAATTTTGCTCTAAGAAATTCTGTGGAATCACCGCAAAATTACCATCAAAATGAAAATTCGCAAATATTTATCTAGAATTCCCACTATTTTGATATATACCAGCAAAACATTGTCAAAAGAAGTAGAAAACCAAGAAACTATCTATACTTGATCACTGAAGCCTAAAGTAGGTAGGATCCTACTCTTTATAACCAGTTATACTGTGTTCTTCACCGCCCAATACAAAAGATGACAAATGTGACTAGCTTTCTAAGCTCCACGCTTAATGGCGTCAAACCAAGAAGATCATTAAAGACATGGGTAGAAACACTCAGATGAGAATTTGAAAATATAAGAGATTAGATGACAGGAAGAAGAGTGATTTCCAGATACGGCATCTGTTTAAAAGGCAAAGCAATATTTGTGATATGAAACTACCGTAAACGGAAAGTTCCAAGGAGAAGTTATAAATTTTAAACTAACGAATTATGTCGGCTTCGTGAATTTGTCGTTTCGTCGATGGTTTAACTCCCTGTGAATCCGAATTTCGTTTACGAAAAATGCTATTTGCAACATTCATCGTTTTTCAAAAAAAAAAAAAAAATTCAACCCATTCCTGCAAAAATTTGCAAAAAATAAAAGCAATTAAAAGAATTGAATATTGTAATATAGAATGGCTCAGCATGGCGCTGCTTGATTCGGAACGCCGACTGAGTTGAGAATCAGTTCCCAACAAGCGGAGACTTTTAAATCTGCCCAAAATGCAGTCCGTACTTGTATCGCCAAAGGATTCTCTCGCATATTTGTCTCGTCGCGATATGCCAGCGCAGCGAGTTTTGTCAGTAATGATGAGGGCTTTGAAAAAAACACTGAGAACATTCATCTCGTGGAAAAATAAATGGAAGAAAGAGATTTATAAGCGAAGCGGAGGGTGTTAAAAGGATTTTAATAGTAATTTGAGAAATCTGTAAAAGCAACAATCACGCATATTCGCGGGGATTACGAGCGTTGTGTAACAAATAGAAATCAATCAATTCATTGCAACCAATTTTCAAGCTTTTTGCTAATATTTGACGAGAAAGAAAGAAAAATGAGTTAATTCGACTAATTTTATTCTAAAATTTACTCATTTGTTCTCGTCAATAAGCTATTTTATATAATAAAATAAAATTTAGAAAATAATAAATTATAAAATTATAGACAAATAATAAGTAAAGAAATGCGATGTCCTAACATTTACCAAAATAAAAATTAGTATAAAAATTTTAAAATTAAAAATATATTTTAAATTGAAAAATTTAAATTATACCGTAATTGAAAATTCGCTATAAGACCAAAGAATTCAAAGGATTTGAATTAAACCTGATTTGTTTGAAAGACGATTCTTTACGATCGAGTTAGCGCTTTGAATAAAAACTCTCTCTCGGAGTTTGTGAATAATTTAGTTATATTTTGACCTTCAAACAATTAGCGGTGATCTCTGAAATTCGAAAAATTAAACGCATCGGGAATTGAACTTATTCAGACAGGCAACCTGGCTGGGCGAAAGAGACGGGGCGTATAATATATCTACCAACCTTATCTATCTTGGAACTTTCCCTTGTTTCTGGCTTCTAGAAGCGCTCGCTATTTCTGCTAAAAGGCAGGTTTACTCTTACCGGGAATAGAACTTCACCATCGGCGCTTCGAAATGCGGGTAAAAACTCACTGAGCAATAACTGAGCGATGCTAATCCGCAGTGCATTTTAGCTCGAATCTTTATACCAGTGTATTGCTTTACACTACTAAAATGTAGTTTGACTTGGCTAAAAAGAAAAAATCGCTTTATTTTCCCTTTCGCAGCCAATTGTACCCTGCAAAAGCCGTCAGATAGACTAAATTATTGGCTCACAGATTGCAAATTTCCGCCAGTTCCAAGTTCCATTTTCAGCCAATTTTAGGTTAGTAAGTTTGCATTTGCTTGCGAATTAGGTTACTTACTCAACTAACTTGGCTGAAAGTAAAAAACTGCCTTTTTTTTGCTTTAACTTTTGCTTTTGCTGCAATATTCTCCTTTATTAAATATTTCAACGAACTTTAGTACCAAAGAAACTAAAACGATGAAATGCAATCAAATATATTCTTTTGCATAAAGTTCTTCAACGACTTTTTTGTAAAAAGGTGTTAAATATTTAATTGCATGCATTCCCAAATGCCATCTATCTGAATAATATCCAACAAGCGTTTTGGAATCGTAAATATGACAAATCTGAAAATTATCACTTCTCTTATCACTTTTCAAAAATATATATAACGAAAAACTTCTCCTCAACTTCGTCTTTTATTTCTAATATCATTTATCATTTATCAAATTATTTTTAAATTTCTCTCGTTAGTGGAATGAAAATTATTTGGAAAGCGATATTCAGATATCACTATTTGGATTCTATTTTTAATAATAATTTTACTATTAACTATCAAGAAAAAAGAATTGAAATTGATCGCAGCCGAACTCACTCAACTTTTTTCATTTTTTATTAATATTTTATCAATTGAAAATATTAAATATTGGCAGATAATTCAAAAACAAAAGAAACCTTATCACAGAAATATTTATAAGTGAAAACGTATTCACATTTATAGCATCGGAGAGCGTTAATTCGTCTGTGAGCATTTCTGCTCATATTTAAAAATACTTTATATGGGAAATTTAGATCCGAAATCGAAAATCCTCTCATGAGCCTTGAAGTTATAAAACTTGGATCTGTTACGCTGTAAAATTAACCAAAATGAGAATGAATAAAATCTTCTAAAGTCCATTTTATCTTCTAATAAATCCTCTATTTTATCTTCTAATAAATCCACTGAAAATAAGTGATTTTTACAAAAAAAGGAAAATAAGAAAGATTCTCCTAATTGGTACTCTTTTCACTTCAGATGTATGCCGTAATGCCCTAAGTTCCAATGTCCATGGATATTTTTGAAAAATTACTAAGTTGGTGGTGACGGATGATCGTAAGAAAATACAATTCGTTTAGTTGAATTCATTATATCATTTATCGTGAATTGCAAATTGCGAAGAATAGCATCGTTTGAGATATTTTTGATTGTTTCATTAAGAGGCCAAACAAATCTAAAAAATGCCCTCTCAGATTTTCCATTCTTTATATAAGCAGACGATGGTGATTTTAATGTTCCATTCAGTGGTACTGCCAAATCTGCGAAAATACTACTCAAGAGAATAATTTTTGAGAATCACATTTCTTAGGAAGGTACTAAGATTTACAATTGTAGGCGATCAGAATCCAGTTCTGCATTCAGTTATGTTCATTATCTTTTAAATTGAAGAAGCAAATATTGAAGAAAATGAACTACTTACTTGAAGTTTAGGAAAACAACATCGGGCCTAAAATTTCTTATAATTTTTATTGTTTCATCCACAAAGTACTGACATTTTGGATAAACAGTTTCAGTATAATAAATTGGTAAACAACCAGGAGCAGCAAGTAATTTGATATGACGAATTTTTGATAAATTAAAAGCTGGCACTATATAATGCA